TTTGTACTAAATTTTCGGTACCTTCATCAGCGTACTGTCAGACGCCTTACAACTGGGCCATTCATGTTTTTGTGTGCCAATCATAGAGATATAATAATTTAGTAGTTTAATAGGTCTATGGTGCCAATACAACGCTAGTATTTAACATTTTATGAATGTATGGCGCGCGTTCGTAAAACTAGAATTAAAGAACTAAAGGCGTAATTGTACATATTAAAAAACTAAGCCCATCCTGTCTAGGTAAGTTTACATCATGTCGTCCTACATCCTGAACGATTTGTGTGTGTGTGTGTGTGTCTGTGCTCCCCAGGGGCAAAACCATGTTGTCGTCTGGCAGTTATAGATGGCTGAAAGGGTGCATGATGGGTAATGTGTTATCGTAAATACCTTATCATTGTACAAAAGTCATAAAAAACAACACCACGTATTTCCTGATAACCGAATCCTATGGATATTTTAAACATAATACAGCACGGCAGTACATAGTGAATAGGCACACGCTATCGCTGGGGACTTATCTTTTTAACTAGATATTGTTTACATCCATTTATTATTATTATTATTATTTGTTTTATTATTATTATTATTGTTGTTGTTGCTATTATTATTATTATTATTATTGTTTGTTACTGTTATTATTATTATTATTATTATTAATTTTATTATTATTATTATTATATTGTATTCCAACTGTCATTGTACTTCTTAATAATAATAATAATAAGGATTTTTGTGTTTTATGGGTCTAAATAATGCTAAAAAGCTGATATGTTTGAAAAAGTCTGTGTCTGGGTGCCTCTGCAGTGCATTAGTTGGGTTGGAGGACTTAATTGGGAAATTTGAAGAGGGGGTTCGCCAAAAAAGAGGGGGTTTGCTAGAAAAGGGCGTTCTCCCGAACCATAAAACCCCCTGAATACGGGCCTGGCCCAAATACGGGCCAGGCCCTGGAGGCTGATACTAGCAACCAATAAGGATTGTGTGTGTGTGTCCATCAACTTGGAATTGCTCAGCTGATAATGGACGAAGTTCGCGTTTGGCTGCAATTAACAGCAATAATCTTCTTCTGGAACAAGCTCAGAACTATGGCGGCCGATTTGAAATTGATTTTCGTTGTTCGCCTGGATGAGCAGGTCTAGCAAGATGATTGATAATATTAAAAAAATCAACACAAAAGTAAAATTTAAATGATATAAGCATTAAAAAGTGAGTCTGCATCGATCCAAAGTTATTGTACGTTAAATTATCACACGAACGATGTATTTGTTGTAAATTTGAGTCCGTCTCATTAAAAATGCACTTTTTAAAGTCGAGTCCGACACGGATTCCCTCATCCATGACCTCCTTCTGCACAATGTACATCTCATTCGGAATCAATGTTGTAATAGTTATGACGCTGCACGCAAATGCCAATTAGAATAACGGCAATATAAAAATACAAACGCAACTTTATAGCGTTCACTCTTTCCAAGTCAAAAGTAGGCTTAGTTTCGAAACCGAAGAGGAATTGTACATTTTTTGTTGTCGTGTATTTAGGCCTATCCAGTTCACATCATAAGTTTGCCGCGTCTGTTGGCCTGAGAAGCAAGTTTTCTTATTGGTCAAATAATTCATCTGAAGCTTACTTATTGTCAGACGTCCTACCAGAATTGCAAACTGCCATGGTAGCCTGGGTAACTGTGCGCATTTTTCTCCTGCTAGAAGCTTTCATTCTAAACACTACAAGTAAGCCTATTTTGATATCAACAAATAATGCAATTGTGAATTAAACTAATTAGTACCATTATTTTTAGAGCCAATACCGTTGTCCTTGTCTAGTAAACCATTTTAAAACCAAGAGTAACTTTTATTGGCTGATTAGATTCAAGAGATTTGATTCAAAATAACTTTATTTCTCAAAGAGTTTTGAATTTGGAGAAATACAGAAACATTAAAAAATACAAATTATACAGGTAAAATTGGTAATAACATTAATATATAACATTAAAAGACACATGAAAAGGTAAATAAAGTATTAAAACATTTAAAACAACTGAATATAAAAAATACTAAGATATACAAATTTCATTAAAGGAAAAAAAAGGAAATTATCATGGATGGAGATATACTTGAGTATGGAGATGGAGAGTTATGAACATTTAAACTGCTATTAAATAAATACAATTTTATATCCAACCACAAGAAAATATCAACTTACAGAGTAGGGAATAAAAACGTTAAGAAGTATATTGTGTTTACTGTAAATTTTGTATGATAGTTTAGTTAAGTATGGGATTAAGCTTTAATTTTACACCGATGTGTGCGAAGCAAGGGGTAATCGTATTTACGTACGGAGAACTTCACACTTCTCCCTAAGTTTAATTTGAAACCAATCTTTGTACCTATCAGACATTTCTGAGAAAAAACTTCGCAGAGGTGTTTTCTCTGATCAAATAATGCAGTGGTGGATTCAAAGGGGCCAAGGCCCCACCCCCCACCCCTAAATATCTCAAAATTTAAAAAAAATAGAGGGAAAAAAATATTCAAATAAAGTCTGAGATTGCCGTTTTCGGCCATTTAGAGATGCTTTATTTCAAGATAGTGAACTCTTTGCCTTCTATTTGAAAGGAAATCAGCAATCAGTCAATCTACGACAAAAATAACTTAACCGGAACAAATTGCAATAGTAATGGAAATAATTGTATTCGACTCAGAACTTATTCAGGCCCATAACATAAAAAATCTAGAAAAAATCTATTTAGTGGAAGGGTCCAAATTTTGGGCCTCAATATAGAGGTGCTTTCTGACTTCGGTGTGGTATAAATTGAGTATTTTACTGCTTATTGTCGTCCTGATATGCCCTTATCACCAAATAAATGACTCAAACTTTGAAGTTTCATTAACTGGCGTATCTAGGGGATTAAATGGGTGCAAGCATAAAATCTACCATAAAACTCCCTCACTCCCCTCCAAGTGTCCTCAAAATGAAGTTTCATTAGGAGTCATATAATGCTCTGCGAGTCTGCTCTGAGATAAGTTTGTCAAAATCTCGTTCAGAATTACTTTTTAACAAGTTTGAAATAATTCCAATATTTCACACTACCAAACGGAAAATATCATGTCGACCGTTCTTTATGTCTGATAACAGAACTAAATCAATTTAAGGCTAGGCCTAGTCAAGCAGCAGTGTTGCAAGGCTTTTTATCCGGCGCCTAGTATATTTCGATAGACCTGTCGCAAAATCAAACATAAAAAAATTAATCCGCGTTTATTTTTTGTGTGTAACACAAAAAAAAAATCAAATTTGATTCTTATTTTGCATTTTTTTTTTCATGTTTAAGAAATGTTTAAATTCAGTTAAATTAGCAGTTTCGGATTTTATTTAAATCTTTCTAGCATATAGGCCTATAAAAATCAGATTTTTCTTAAAAAATGAAATTTTGCCGAGAATGGGGATTTAAAATGATCTAGAATGGTCTAGAGGTAAAACTACCCCCCCCCCCCCAACCGCCGGGCACCATCTCGGTATTTCTGAGTCTACACTTATGATGGGTGATTCAAAGATTGGATTGATTAAATTGCCGAGCGGCCATGGGGTGTCCAGAGGCCGGACAAAGGACCTTCTCGGGGACCTCTGAACCCCCGCTTGGACCCCCCTGTCGAGGAATTTCCAGTAAGGTCGCGGGGAAATAACAAATCTTGAGCGCCGAAAGTACAATTTAAGCATTCTTAGTAAACTGATTAAAAACTGTTTAATGCGAGTAGTTGTTACTATATGTGCGAGGTTTTGTATACTATCGCGATCGTATGGGTTGCAGTAGTAGTGCAAGCTCTTCCCAGACAAAAGGACAATATTTTTAATAATAAAAAACTCCTCGACAAATTTAATTTTTTCTCCTAATGGGCGGGGGACTAGGGGAGGGAGTCTGGACCCCTCGTAGGTGAATTCCTGCTGCCGCTCCTGGCCTAGAGTCGCCTCGGCCAGGGTCCCAGAATAAAATCCCTTATAGAGGTTTATGAGAAGAGAATTTATAATTTAAGATGGCCGAACATTTTGCCTTTAGACCACGATATTAAGGATTAGGAAACAAAGTAACTTAATTTGGATTAGTCCACCAGAAATACGGATTTGAAGCACCAAAGTTGGACATAATTGCAACAAAACTTTTTTTTATGAATATATATAGTTAAATTTTATTTCTACAACATACAAAAAGTTTACCAAAATATACCCACAGGAAAGGTGATTTTTATAGCAAAGAAAACTGAACTATTTCACTGGGCTTATACGCCGTGCCTAGGATGTGTGTGCTGTGCCTTGGTTACGAAGCGCTTTAATTTGATTTGCCGCTGACGTTTTTGATTGGTTAATATACCTTCAACAGTCTGCGCGTACTCATTTACGCAACACACGTACGTACGTACGTACGCAAGTTCGTACGTACGTCACGTCCCAGAATGTAAACACGGAAATTGTTAGATATTATAACCTCTGTAATATTTTATTTCAGGGTAGATGGATCTACAACAATAATTCAATTTTAATTTTAAATACAATGATAGGTACGATTAATTGACAAATAGTGAGGCCTGCCCAGTGTGTGCCGACCCAGCTGAGACTCAGGAGTCGGAAAAAATAGTATGTGATCTTACATCAATAGGCCCTATATAGGAATAGGCCTATTATTATATTTTCTTACCTAAAAACACCAATTAAAATGTTATAGCTAATACAATAAAACAAATTTATTTGCAAATATTGTAAAATAATTGTTGATATTTTAAAAAGTATAATAATGACTGATAATTGATTTATTTGAAATAGGCCTACTATTCTACTCTCTTCATATAAAAAATGTTGGAAATCACGTAAATTCAGGATTTGGTGCCGAATTACTGTATAATGCCTGTATAATGCCTTGTCTTCTGGTGAATAGCATGGACGGGGGTGACAGGCGACACGTACCCCAACTATTTTAAGGGGGTGGTCCCCATCACGTTCCTAAGGAAGTCAAGAATATTCCTTGAAATAGTAGAATTGAACTGCATAAATGACCAGATTTTAACGAAAGACCACTTTACAGGCAGATAACATCTTATTTTATAACAAGATTCCGCTCGGTGTTTTCTGTCCACAAACATCTGAATTAACTGTAATGCACGACTCGAGTGCGTGCCTTTATTATACAAGTAGGATAAAAAGTGTGTAAAGATAAATTGGTTTTCGGCTCATGAAGTAGGTAAAGTAGATAAATCGAAGACAATTATGTTGTTATATTTCTATCGCGGCGATTTATATTAGATACAAGATAGGTTATTGTCAAATTAAAATATGAAATTAGTTTTTCTCATGGCAACAAAAGTACACAAACAACAAAGAAACATACGATCAATGATAATTAATTTTACATCATATGTACAGTATTAGATCTCTATGTTTGCCGAAAATCGTTAATAAGAGATCATTTGTCACGTTTTTATGTGTGATAACAGAACCTAAATCGAGGTAAGGCTAGGCCTAGCCTTGCAGCGCTGGATAGGCTAATGTTTTCGGCGCCTACGATATTTCTTCTCACGACCTATCGCAAAATAAAAATGAAAAATTCATCCGCATTTATTTTTTGTGTGGAACACAAAAAAAATCAAATTTCAGTCTTATTTTACATTTTTTTCATTCTTCATAATGTCTAAATTCAGTTAAACTAGCAATTCCGTATTATATTTATAAATCTTTATAACATTATACAAAAATTAGATTTTTCTTAAAAACTGAAATTTTGCCGGGAATTGGGCTTTAATATTGTTAGCTGGACAAGCACGCCATGGCGTCGGACGATGGAGTCCGTGATTGTCCGTCGGAATATATGAATTAGTTTAGACACATTATTCCCCTTACCTCCAAAAGCCATCATTGTCATCAATAATAATCGTACTGTGTTTTCTAGAGGGATCTAGGAATTTGATCACATAATAATATGGAGAAAATACCATGTTTGAACATGGTTAAGAATAATTTCTCAATAATTTTTTTTTAATTGGATATTGTGAATAAAACTAATTTCGTTTCATAAGCCTCTCGAAAAGGCAATGATAAAGCGGAATGAAAGTTTGTAAAATGCTGGATCGTTGGTATTTGTGATATAAAATTGCCTTGATCTATAATTATTATGTCTATACCAATTGTTAAAAGTAACCATTAAATTTATTATTATTAATATTAGCCATTCCTTGTGAGAATATTCGGCTACCAGTGACTAGCGTACCTAGTATAGTATTTAGGGCTTCCGGTCACACACGATTAGCCTAATCTAACCAGAAGACCAAACCTATAAGCCAATAAAATATAAGCAATGTCTAATAGTATGCTTTAAGCCTAATTTAGTATGCTCCTTTTCAAATGTGTATTGCAGTTTTTTAGTTGAAAAAAATAGTAAATTATTGTGTGTATGCTATGAGTCTGATAGTCTATTAATGTATTTTATATTGTTATTTATTCGTTATCTTTCTGTTAAATTAACATTTGGCAAACTGGGTTTCAGCAAGCAAAGTGGGATTCGGCAAAAATGGGTTTCACAATGTATGAGCCAGATGAACAAATATGTTTATAAGCCTAATACCAGAGCATAAAATGTTCAATATTTTCAACCTAAACGCTGTGGTTTTTACCATAGCGTTTGGTTCATCCTCGTAAAACATGTCAGTGAATAAATATCCATTGTAAATTAGCGTCATAAAAGTTAATAGTA